CAAAATTTGCAATTGACTTTCCTTCCTTGAGCCACTATTTATTGAAAACTCAAAAATAATGCAGGCTTGGGCCGGGCCTGGGCTGTTTTCTAAAAGGGGTCTAAAGGCCTTTGATTTGATGGATCTCTTTTCTTTTTCAGTTTTTCTCATCATCTTTCTTTAACTAAAACAAAAGTACCCAACTTCCTTATTTAACCCCGTCCAGCCTCTCGCGAAGTTATGATTCATAATTATTTTATTTTATTTTTTTACCATAAGCTCGTAACGGTTATGGATCACTCCTAATCCATCTAATTCGCCAACTACAGTTGCCTAACTTGACCCAACTTGTTTGCCTGGTCCAGCCCATGGCACATTGTTAAATTGACGAAGATAGCCCTGTTCTCTACTCTGAGGGCATATTTGGTTGCCAGCACTACAAAAGCAAATTTTGAGGAAGCTGCGTGAAAAAACAGCTGAATTTGAGTTTTGAAATATAATTTTTGAGCACAAAAATAATAAAAACAAGTAGTTGATCATAGTTGTTAGGTTTATTTTTTTAAATTTGTGTTCTAAAAGCACATTGTGTATTAATTATACATCTTTTTAAATAATTGTTATGAAAAAAATAAAAATTTACTTTAATTTTATCAATTATCTAATTAAAATTATACATATATTATTGTTGTTAAAAGTGAAATTTATTTTTTATTTTTTATATAAATTAACAAAAAAATAATTAATACACTATTAATCTGTACCATTAAATAAATCTATATTTATTTTGTAATTAGTAATTAATGCTTTAAAAGCAATATAACCAAGTAAAATAAAAGGCAATTGCTTATTGATCGAGAAAATTTTCCAGATTTTTTTGTCAGAATATGCTTCCCCCCACCCCACAAAGTCCCTTATATTGAGTTATAATCAATTATTATCCAAAATATACATTTTATTTCTTTTTGTAGCAAATTACTTCTTAATTTCACTCGTTATATGTACAAATTTATTTTTAAGAACAATGTTGTATTTGAAATTTAGTGAAGTATTATTATACCTGCAAGTTTTTTAATATTTTAATATGAACGAAGTTATATTATTATTTAGTAATTACTTTAAAAAAATTTTATTTCTTTTTGTAGCAAATTACTTCTTAATT